GCCTTTGATTCATAGGTTTCATCAAGACTAAGCTGTTTCTCTATTCCTTGCACGACGTTTTTTACTGAGCTCATCTCAGCTGCACGCTCCTTGACAAGCTCCAGCGCCCATGTTTCCATATCCACCGTGGTTCTTTCAATTTTCTCAAGATTTTCCGTGACCATGCGATACTGATCCTTCGCGACGTGGCCTTCCGCGCTCTCTGCGAGTACGACATTCCGTCGAGGTGTAGAGACTCCTGGGGTTAGTTCTTCTAGGGGTAAGACTGTCTCAGGCATTGGGGTGAGAAGTAGATCGCTGCCGTTATCATGGAGACAGGCCATGCGCAGGCGCCAGTAAGGGCAGGCCTCAGCACAGGCTGCCATGTTGCGGGTAGGTAGGTCTTTCCCCATCGGACAGTGGATCTCATACTGAACGCTCAGGCGAGGTGGGTCGTTCTGCAGGGCGACCTGGACCTTAACGAGATCCACCTTAGGGAGTAAATCACAGGCCTCGGCAAGGTCCCATCGAGTTGCCTCGATCAACTTGTCCTGAGCGCATAAGGGAGCGATGTCCAGCTCGTATTTGCCTGTTGATACCACGCCGATCAGTTCGTCCGTGTCGTCTAAAGTTGTTTGATATGCCGTCTCGAAGTCCTTGTGTGATTTCACAAGTGTTTTGTATGTCTCTGTGGATACTTCATCATCCTCCAAAAGACTTATAGTCTTTAACATAGACTCTCTGCACGCGGTAGTTCGTTCGTGCTCATCTTGAAACCATTGAATGATTGCTTTCCCACCGATAAAAATTTTCGTATAAGGCTCATTTCCACTTCTGTAATTGTCGTCGTCTGAGGCATCAATACGAAGTTTGATGATCTCATAGAGAGCATTACGATCTGCCTCAGTCAAAATACCGACAGGATCCCTACACACTGCACACGCCGCTGCCTTTATCACATGCATTCCACTTTGCGCCGTGCGAATTAAAGGGTTATGACCATCTTGCTGAAAGTTAGTCGTACCCCACAGCCAACTCAACCGTTTGTTGATTGCGATGAGCTCTTCGTTAAGTTCGTTAAATTGACTGTTAACACTTTCGCAATGTGTGTTCAGCGCACTTTTTGCATCCTCAATAGCCTCCAGAAGTGCCTCTCTTTTATTTGAAGGTATGTCATTTGTGTTTGTATCTGAAGAACATTCCTCCCTATGGAGAGCCGTCTTGGCATGAGTTTCTAAGTTTCTCAGACGGCGTTTGTACTTTTCAGTAACCTGTTTTTCATTCACTAACAACAGCTTAATCTCTTCTTTAATACATTTCCGTCGGTATCGAGCCGCGGACACTTGTTTTGGAGCTTCTTTGGCAATAGCAGGGCCTACTCCAAAGGTCGACTGGAGGTTGCAGAGCGTCCCAAAGAAGTCATCGGCACGGGCCTGTTCCTGGGCATATCTCTCCACCAGGGTGTTGCAGAGAGCTGTGAGATTAGAATCTGCGGTCGTATAGGTTATAGCATTATTGTCTTTCAACGAATTGAGTATGTAGGGTTCTCCGGTCAGATTAATTAATTCCAGCTTCACCTTTTCCATGACTGAAGGGATGTCAGAAGAGCCAAGGAGAGCCAATGTCTCAGATAGAAGTTTAGTTTGAGGGTTTTCATGAACCGCTTCAACTGCTTCTCCAATAGGGCCTTGGTTTGAGCATAGATATTTCTGTGGACCTTCATCCGTAGTGAAGGTACAGGGTGTGTGACTAAGTCTAGAAGATTCCGTATCAGGGATGTACTCATATTGAGTCAAAAGTGGCGTTTGAGTTTGTTTACCATGATCGGTTGCGTCTTTCTGTCCCAATATCTGTAGTAGCGCTGTTTTCATACCTTCTGCAGAAGTTCGATGTTTATCACACTGAGTTGATACATATTGTATACGTCTTCGGATGAGATTGAGTGTATCCACTGCCCCTATTTCTCCCCTGAAAACGAGCTCCGTTGCGCTGTGCGACGGTAACCGTACCTCAGAATCTTCTGCATGAAAACCACGTCTTTTCGAGTTTTTCCAATTCATTTCATATTCGCTAATAAAGTTTTCATTATCAGTTTCTTCCTTTAGAAGCTCGATAAAATTTTGAATTACGATTACGGCATCTGCTAAATCCTTGGCTGCCCCCTGAATTTCCTGCACAAACGCAACACTTTCGTTGCTACTACAACTTTCTCCACTCGAGGCTGACCTGATAAGTTTGATCAGTTCTAATAGCCTAGAACTGAACCTTAAAGTTATGGCTGTGATGTCTTTGCATTCTATACTATTCTGCATAACTTCCGCGTTTACAGTTTCTAGACCAGCACTAACCGTATCGTTTGTATTTAATGTTGGCACGACTTGTGAATCAAGTCCAGTGGTTTGGTGTGATAAGCCTTGAGTAAGTGTGGAGGAAACCACTGTCATTGCTTCCTGAATAACTGAAAATAGGCCTTCGTTTGCGACAAGGGGAGCGTCTTCGGGTTCGATATCATGCCCTTCAACTAGAGCATTTCCATTAGGGTTGTTTCTATATTGTAGCCTACGTACGTGTTCATTTCTAAAGTGTTCGGCAACTTCTCGTAGGGAAGGTGTAAGTAACGGCTCATCGACTTTTGCGCGGTTTTCTTCAGCCGAAAAAACGGCTGTACAAATAGGATGTTCTTTATAGGGATCAGTCATATCGATGTTGGTAGGCTGATAGGGTACAAGCGCCGCGCATAGGATGTCCTTGAGGAGGGCCAAGTCCACCTCAAAGGTTGGTGGACTAGACTGGAATCTGTCAAACCGCACGGGCTTTGCTGAGCTAGCTGTCTCCGTCCCAAAGTCATCATTTGGTAGCGAGAATGTTTGCATGGCTTTTGACCATTTGTCAAAAGCGCTTTGAATAGACATCTCTACTAATCCTTTGTCTCTTTCATGTTGTTTGGCAATCCACGCTGCCTGTTCATACAGTCGCTGCTGGAGGCTGCCGCAGAGCAAGTTTGTTTCCTCCGCGAGGTGGGTGATGTCGCTATGTTCGTGGGTTGACAGTTGGGTCCAATATGGGTCAGTCTTTGGTAAAGCCGTCATTTTGGGTTTCAACATCTCACATAATGTGGCAACCGATTGCACGAGCCCAAAGGCGGACTCCTCAGACTCCCACAAGACTGCCCGCACATGAGCCTCCGCTTCTATCAGCATTTGCATCCACTGGTCGAATAGCGTGGATATATCAGCGAAGTCGTGACGTTCGAGATCAATGTGAGCCGGCGCATCGGTGGTTGTCCACGCATCATGCCTCATGCGTATCAGTTTGTCTATTTCGTCATGAGAAATTTCGTGAGCAGGGCAAGATTCACTGTACAATTCTTCATGTCTGGCATCACTCGACTCAGCTTCGTGGTCAAACTCCAGCGGATAGTTGGTTTGGTTATCGTAATTGGGGTAATCCGTGCTGATATCGAGCGAGCAGTTGCTCACCACTCCATGGGCGTCGCGAACACGAGGAGTTGGGTACGGTGCTGTCATTTCTCTCCAGAATGTGGTCCATATCTTAAAGTCTCGTGCTTGATCTGTCGCAAAAATCATGAGGTTTCGTTGGTCTTTGTCGGTGTTGACGTTGTCGGAAATCCCTTCAACACCAAAATAGTAATAACTGCTGCGGACTTTTTCACGAAGAATATTTCGTGTTACAAAATTTCCACGTTCCGGTGAGACGAGGTTACAGCACTTTATTTTTTCGTTATGGATGTAAAATTGCGTCTTCGGCCCCCCATAGTTTCTATCATTGTGTTTATGCAGGTGTGAAAAGGCAAAAAGGATCCGGGCACGATCGAAATGCATTTCTTTTATCAGACGCCCTGCACTGCTCCAGGCTGAATAGACAAAAAGGCGTTGGTTTTCACAAATCACCCATTGCATACCTTTTGAATTCTTTTTACCCGGCCCGGTTTTTCTAGTTATATACCACAATTCACCTTCTATTTTGTGTGACTCCTTTGGCGCATGCGATGTTGTTATTCTTGGGAGAGAACTCGAGGGTGTTAGCAGCTGCGTAAACGTTGGCCGCGGCTCTGGAGAGTTTGCACGACCACTTTGTGTAGTAGAGGTTCTGGTGTCATGAATATTCTCGAGATTGCCTTCTCGATACTGAAATATCGAAAATATACTCAGACTTTGTCGCGTTATCACGCCAGGACGTACATGACTCTTGTGGTGCAGCGCCCTCTTAGAAAGGTGGTGTTGATTAGAAGGGGGTTGATTTTCTGCATAATGTAAATTAATCTGAGCACGACCCTCGTGGAGACTCGCCGAAGGACTCGAGGACCTAATCAGTTTACTTTTATGACTCACCATAATTATAGGGGTGTTATATCCACTTTTAGACGTATATAAATAAATAAAAATCAATCTTGATTTGAGTAAATATTACACTATCTAATGTATAATAGAGTGAAATAAGTACTTCTTTTACTAAGCAATTTTTATTGTTAATTTTCAATATTGAGAGAGACGTTTCTTAATTTTACCTTCCAGTAGTGTCATATATGTATATTAACGATCCCCTTCAACTTTTGACTAAAATCTATTAATAATGATTAGCCTATTTGCTGCACGCGATTATCAAAGGTATAAATATAAAACAAATATATATATGAGGATGACTGTGAACGAATATATATTGGGAAAAAATTTGATAATAAAAATAAAAGTGTTGTAAATAGGAGATTTTGTTGAAGGAGGTGAACGGTTATAAACGTACTAGTGTTAAGCCCTAAATAAAGTTTTAGCAATTAAATCTAATAAATATTTTCACCTACAGCAGTTTAACGCAAACAGCTACGTAAAATACTTCTAGTGACTGGTAAGCACCTATCTTAAAGCAAAGAAGTTGGTGATATGAACTTTTTCTGTTTATAAAAGTAACTTGAATTTGTTAGAATATAAGACTATTTTCTTCAGCTAAAAAAGATAAGTTGTAAGCTTAACCCTTTGAGGGGAGGATTGATATGAAATATCTGGTCACACCTTTTGTTTATAAATTTTCAGAGAGCAAACAGACGTAAGGAAAGACAAAGAATCGAGTGTCCCATTTAACCCACGGCTTTGTTTTGGTGGCAATAACAAAAGCAGCAAATGCAAAGGAGGAGGTAAAGTTGATATTTTTTTAGTATGGGTAAAATAACAAAATATAGAAAAAACCTCATGATAGAGATTGTAACAAAAGCGAATCAACGCATACCTATCCGAGGTTCTTGACACAAAGGGCATTTCTATGTTGGGTACGATCCGCGTCACTCTTAGATGGGAAGATCTTCAACCCACTAAAATGGCTTTGATTGATCATCCCAGCGTCCCGATCGCATGGCATTTATCGGATTCCTGAAATTT